AATCCCGATTTGTTTCTTAACAATTCTGCAAAAAATAAAGTACAGTTATAATTTATTCAATTATATATTCACTTTCATTTGCAGCGACATGTTACCACTTATCTAGCAGAACTACTATTTTTCTGAATAACATCCCGCTGGCTGACTTTTTAATTTGGGTTTTCAGTAGAGAGTTTTTCCTCGTCAAAGGGTTTTGCAACGATCAAAAAAGTCAATCACTAATGAATATGTCGGTTGTGGTAAAAGAGACTAAACGAGGTTAACTTTTTTCCTATGTTAATCTTGCTGTATTCAGTCTTGCCTTATTACGACGGAGAAAATTACTTTTCGGGTGAATGTACATGGACATGTTGCAGCTGCTGGAAGTATAAGTGTGCCTTTAGTGTTTAACTGCGTTTTAAGAACTCAAAATGAATATTATCCCGATGTTCCCATCGCATGCACAGCATTACCTTTCTTCTCAGTTTTAAGGATTTATCTTTGTCAATACACTGACTATTGCATTGGACGCTATCTGATGTTGGTAGGCTCCAAATTTATTTATACTTTCGTCATTAAAATTGGTTCCCTGAAACTAAAATTACAACCTAATAGTTAAATGCTTAACTTGAAAATCGGGGAACTAACTTTAGCGACCTATCCGTTAGGAAAAACATTATAATTCTAAAGACACTTCCAGTGATCCCACGGTTAGAGAATTTGTACAGTAAACCATTAGGTCCCACCTTGTCAAAAGTCTTTAAAATATCAAATGCGTCCGCCCTTGACATGTATTCATTGTCTAGAATCTAACTGATTCTGTGAGTAATGGTACTTACTGTTGTATTGCCCTTTCGTACTGGGGGTTGTCTTGGGGCGACGGTCTTGATTTACTTACATCTGTCATCTTCCGGTCGGGTGACCGCTAGTTGGTTTGTTCGGAGATAAAATGAGAACTTCAACAAAAGGGATTTCGAACTTATCTATTTTATTAGACACGTCAACGTGTACATTTTTAACTAGCCAGTGGGGTCGCTCTATCACTGCCACTGGGGAGCAGTTTCCACACACGAAATTAACACGTTTGCATTCTTCGACGCGTAAAACTTAACTCCCTGAAAACACTTTCTATCTCTATAACATTCTCACGTTCGGCTCAGCCAATAAAAATTGACATCCCTATTTTGTCTACTATCTGACCTTAAGTTCAGCCTCAGAAGGTATGAGCCAAATACACTGACACTAAAAGAATAATAGTCTGAAACTATTATTTAACACCATCAGCTGTAAAAGCAAAAAATAAAAAATAAAACAATCAATTAATCATTGCAAACACTAGTATAGATGATAGGGAGAGCCATGCAAATATGTTTACAAAAGAAAAGCTGAAAAGGCATGTCCGAAAAGGTTTTAATGTAGAACTTTCAAACTATATAAATGCAACACATCACATCACTTGTGATATTTGTCGCAGAATATGCCTGAGTAAAGCAGAAAAATTAAGTCATATGTGATGTCATCGTACCAGAGCACCAACCAATTACAAAATGCAATTAATCACCTGAGAGACTCCTTTCAGCCTTCCATCTGGGGAGGTCTTTTGGTTGACGAGGTCGGTTCCACGACAAAGCTGCATTCTTCTCTCTCGGCCGGGTGACCGCTAGTTGGTTTGTTCAGAGGTAAAATGAGAACTTCAGCAAAAGGGATTTCGAACTTACCTATTTTATTTTTTATCCCACACAAATGAGGAGCAGTTTGCATTCTTCGACGCGTAAAACTTAACTCCCTGAAACCACTTTCTATCTCTCTAACATTCCCACGTTCGGCTCAGCCAATCAAAATCGACATCCCTATTTTGTCTACCATTTGACAAAGGTCAGGTTCAGAAGAACTGAGCGAAAATACACTGCCACTAAAAAATAATAGTCTGAAACTATTATTTAACATTAGAATATCAGCAGTGAACTGAGCCGATCGAAATCAGTACTGCTTGTCGCTCAAGAGATTGTCTCTATTAAAGCGATCAAGAACCTTGTTGATTATAGCTTCAAAAAATTTGCCAATGCCACTGAGGAGACTGATAGATATATGGTGTGAGGGAGGGGTGAGCGTACACCGGCATTTTTGAAAACCAGACATACAACTGACATCTTCCACATACCTGGGAAAGATCTCTCCTTCAAACAGCGGCTAAATAATTTCGCTAAGATCGGGAATGACTGCGGATTGATATTTTTAAGGACAAAAGTGTTTTACTAGATTGGCAATTAGGTCTCATCCTTTTACTGTTAAAATAACTAGATTTAACCGTAAGTTCTAGGTATTATTATTTTTTCTCACACTTCTCGCCTGTAGAATTTGTTTCCCAGCTAGCCATAATCTTCAAAAATTTAAATGTAATGTCAATCGCCATCTTCTGTCTTCATGGATATTTTTCTTTGAATGTCCCGTCTCCTCACTAACGTCTTGTAATTTTCTCTTATTTGTCGTAACCCCCTTTGCGTCTTAGTGGCATTATCACTTTGATGGGGGTGAAATAATTAACAAAAGACACTGGTATTTTGTCTTGACTAGTAACCATCTTAGAGTCAAGATTTCTGATAAGTTTTGAGACTTATGATATATTTAAAGAATGGCGAGTTAGGATGATACATTCGCCATTACAACTGATTTACCAAAACGGAAATTAGTTACGACTCAACCTAATACCTGAGTCATCCAGAATGTTGAACGAATTTCAGCTAAATTCGTTGATACTTACTGATCGTTTTAGCAACATTTTCTGTATGTGTTTAACATTTTGTAAGCTTTGAAGTTATTTAATATTTCTCCTAATCCATCAACTCGGTTTCACATCGCAATGTGTCAATTAATTTGAAACTCGGAAATTCAACACATTCATATACCTGCGCAGAATGAACCTAATTTCATCCTAACAGCGCAGACAGATCTCGTAAATAATGTTTTAGATTTCATTATGTACTTATTTTATTTTTTGCTAAATCTTTCATAGTTTTTGCGCGTATGTATGATTATAAATAATATTATTACTTTAAACATAAATATTATAATAATAATAATAATAATAATAATAACAATATATATAAAAGCAGCTATATCCAGCTGGTCGATCAGAAAAAGCGTTCAATTAGAATGGAGCAAAAACAGCATCATGTTTAGATGTAACAGAGTCTACCTTCTTCAATTACTTTAAAGTACTTTCATTAAAAAAACATTTTAAATTAATGCAGTTACATATGTTTAGATATAACAAAAGTAGTCTGCATTTATTCAATCGAAGTTAGCCAAGGACATGAAGGGGTAAAACAGGCAACATGAAGACCCACTTCAGACCACAATTATTTTGGAGTTTTTGAAATTCAATTTGTCAGTGTGCTACCAGGGATGTAAAAGATGATATATTTATGAAGCAATTGTTAAGTTTGATGAAGATTGGTTGAAAGATCAACGAAAAATAAGAAAGAAACCAGTAAAAATCGCAATTTTGTCGCTATTTAGGCGATTTTCACGATATGTGTGGACTCAATTTTCAACTTAAATGACTGTTAAGCAATCAACTTATTGTTGGCTACAATTGAGTGAAGTTTGTATTAGATTGCATGAAAATTGAGGGTTTGAAATCGATTTGTCTTGAAATCGATCTTTCGTTTTTCGCGTTTTTTTGCTAAACACAGTGGCGTAGAAATAAAAATGACATATCGTTGATCTCGTCATGATTTAAGTAACCTACATATCGAGTTTGAACGAAATCGGAGGAAAAAAGTTAAATTTATCGATTTTTCATCGGCTTTATCGATTATTGATTTTTTTTTAAATTATCGATTTTTACGCTAAGAACCTATCTCTTACGTTGTATAATGTATGTGCCAAGTTTGGTCGAAGTCGGTTCGATGGATCTCGAGTGAAAAGGTATCACAGAGACAAACAGACACACAGACATCCTCTGTTTTATATAGAGAGAGATAAAGCTTATATGCTGCCATCAACAATAACTATTATTTTAGTCCGATGAAGTCCTTCTAGAGCAATTTTTCGCAAACTGTTCTTCCTGACAGTCTATTTTTGGAGTTCAAATGATTTTAGACTCTCTTAATCACAAATAGAAATTCCATGTAACAGGAAATACATTTTATTTACAATAGCAAAATGTAGTAGAAAATATAAATTCTGACTAATTACAACACTGATCCTGGTGTCTCATTTATAATATTTCTGAGGCCAACGTCTTGCTCTAAGGGCCCACTCAGGATGAATAGCGTTGCACATAATTTTTTCCAATTTGTTATTCATTTGACTAAAAATGTTGATACATAGAAATGTATATAACATATTCTCCCATAAATATATTCAAAATATAGATGTGAGGAAGATTAAGAAAAGTGTGTATATATATATATATATATATATATATATATATATATATATATATATATATATAATCATTTGCAAACAGTACTGTTACGCTGTATCACAGCTCTTCAGTGCAACTAGACATCCGATTCCGATTGCCTCAATCCAGGATTGAAACCCAATCGGTTTGGTGTCACTCAGATTTCCTACCACTGAGCTATCTTCACTCGGCAGAATGAGCCAGCCAAATCCAGCGTATTGTTTTTACAAATGTAAACAAATGTTCAACAACCAGAGTGCTCCATACATGCAAAGCAGTAAAGTTGATCATCATTTTCCCTTCATATATGATCAGCCATGCTTGATTTCAGTATCTTTCCCCAGACAACAGCTTTTTAATGTTCCTCTACCCTTACTTTTAGGGTGTGCCTAGTCTCTCATTTCATCCTATGCAAAGCAGTAAAGCCACTAAGATACATGGGGTTAGTGAGTTTGAAAGAACAAAAAAATAGTGAAACATTATTAAGAAGCTAGAACAATAGAAGAGTAATCAGGAAGACAGTAGATAACGATTGACATTGCATTTAACTTTTTGAAAATTAAATTTTGACAAAAGCATGGAACAGGAAGAGAGTTCCACAAACGAGAAGTGCGAAGGAAGAAACTGTTAGCATA